TTTCATGGAGATTTGATGGAGATATCGTGCTCGCTGTGATGATGGTGCCGGACTGGCTTCAGGTTGGTGGTTATTACTAGAGTTTAGCCAGGTATATGGGATACCCTCTGGTAATGACTAACAGTTAGCTATTGACAATTGTCATTTATAGGATTTACCCATTGAACATGGTGATTTTCCATAGTTACCAGATGGTAATTTCAACCCCAAAAAATCGGGATTCAAACTGACATTGGCCGCCCACTGGCATGCCATCCCCGGATAGGTGTTAAGCGAATGGTTTTTTTTTCGTTGGGGGAAGCCGTATCCAGTCATTGGAGTGGCCATTTATCTGGGTAAATTATAACGACCTCACTGCGACCTCACTGGAATCATGGTTAGGATTCGGGGAATCATCCCCAAATGGCCGAAATATTCAGGTTAGTGAAATATTATAATTTACCCAGATTCATGTTTTTTTTGGTGGGACACCTAATGCATCAACCAGGTTTTTTCTCTTTCCCCAGGGTTGACATTGAAGAAACATTGGAACTCCAATCCTTAGATAGAACATCATGTGGTTGAAACATCATGAACCAGCTATATCCCCCGCAAAAGGGATTTCAGGAGGTGCTGGGAATGAGGGGCTAAATATTCTGCAGGACCTGAAGCTTCGTGCTGGTGGAGCGACAGCAAGATAGATAATGATAGACTCGATAGACAAATACATTCAACTGCCTATTGTGTAGTTATATATGTATGTATGTATGTATATTTATACATATATATATATATTTATACATACATATATATATATTCTATACAGGTATTTTTTGAGAGCTGGCCGCTGTGGGAGTGCACTTTTTTCCATGCAGTCATTACATTAATCATTATATTAGTCATTATATTAGTCATTATATAAGTCATTAAATGCATCATTATATTTATCATTATATGAATCATTATATGAATCATTATATTAATCATTAAATGAATCATTAAATGAATCATCATTATATCAGTCATTATATAATTCATTATATTAGTCATTTTATTAATCATTGTATTAGTCATTAAATTAATAATTTTATTAATCATTATATTAGTCAATAAATTAATAATTATACCAGCCATTACATAAATCATTATATTAATCATTATATTAGTCATTATAAAAGTCATTATAAACGTCATTAAATGAATCATGAAATGAATCATTATATTTATCATTATATCAATCATTATATCAATCATTGTAATAATTATATTAGTCATTGCATTAGGCATTATATTAACCATTACATTAATCATTATGTGAATCATGATAATAATCATGATATTAATCATTAAATTCTTTATTTCAATCATCATTCAATTAATCATTATATTAATCATTATATTAATCATGATATTGATCATTTTATTAATCATGTTATTAATCATTATATTAATCATTATATTAGTGATTATATTCATGAATAAATAAGTCATTACATTAATCATTATATTAGTCATTATATTAGTCATTATATAAGTCATTAAATGAATTTTGGTTTTTCCATGGTTTTTTTTGCAGTTTGGCCTGGGGGGCGCAGGTGTGCAAATTGTAGAGACGCGCATTTTTTTGAGAGGTACTGTGATGAAAGCATCTTCACATGAAAAACATTCAAAACAACAATGGAAAAAACAAAAAAAAGTTCAGACCCATGGGCAAGGTCTGGGAGAGGCCTGGCAGGGGACATGGGTCTGAACTTTTTGTTTTTTTGGTTTTTCCATGGTTTTTTGCAGTTTGGCCAAAAACCTCGAGAACACAAAAAAGAAAAGTTCAGACCCATGGGCAAGGTCTGGGCTATCCACACACAAACCAAAAAACCAAAAAACCAAAAAACCAAGAAACCAAGAAACCAAAAAAACAAAAAAACAAAAAACCAAAAAAAACAAAAAAAACAAGATTGCACACCCCAAGGGGAGGGGGTCAGATGCAGAGTGTTGGGTCTTGTCTTTTTGTTTTTTTTGTTTTTTTTGTTTTTTTGTTTTTTTGGTTTTTTGTTTTTTTGGTTTTTTGGTTTGTGTGTGGATAGCCATTGCAGATGTGCCAAGCAGAGATTGCCAGGCACTGTCAGTGGTTGCACTAGAAGCAAGGTCGATACACTACAGTACAGCAATGTTTGCTATGACATAGTGCATTCAGCCAATGAACAGCAGAGAGGAATGGAATTCAATCTTGTCCGGTTGCGCCATATGCTGTTGGATCTTTGCACAGGAAATGCCGCAATTTGCGCACTCCCCTGGTGGCCTGTTCTGGATTTTTTTGGGTATGCGTATAGAATCACATGCACAAATACAAACCCACTTTTTGTTTGCATTTACCCAAATTGTATATTCATACATCCCTTATGCCACCGCCGCCTGCCCTCAGGATGTTTCCAGTCGCCTTCTCAGAGCCAGAGATGTTGATTTACCACTTGGTAAATCACCAGTCTTAATGCACAAATCCATGTAATCGGATGTTTTTATTGGAACATCCTCTGTAAATTTAAGGTTTTATGGGAAAATCCACTGTAAATGGAGGTTTTAAAGGAAAATCATCTATAAATGGAGGTTTATAATGGGGAAAAACATCTGTGAGCCATTTTACATGACAAACCTTGTAGACTGGAGGGTACGAACAGCCATAGCTTTGGGTTTAAACATGTTTGAAAACACGAACAAAAGTGGATTCTGTGCAAACGTGCATATATTTTTGTCAAGTTCAACAATTTTGGTCAAACATCAGCTTGGACATCAAAGAAAAAAACAGTCCTAAGATCAATGGGAATTTCAGGATCCTAAAATGGAGGTACGTTATTACCATATGTTTGGCCATATTTTCTGGGGATATTCCCTTACAATGGCCTGAAAAATAGGCCAAAAATATATGGTAGGTACTGTACCTCCAATCAATCGGATCCTGGAATGGCCATTGAAGTATTAAGTATTCATTGGCTATTCATTGGCTATTCAGTAGCTATTCATTAGCTATTCATAGGCTATTCATTGGCTATTCATAGGTGGATCGGGAATGTCAGCCTCAAACTATCAGCGGCTTCGAAACGGGGCCCCTCCAACGCAACGGACCAGGTCCTGGAACTTCTCGCAGAACATTTGCTCCAAGCCTTGGAGCCGTGGGACTGTGCCGCCATCGTGCCTTGGCGGCGCCGTGCGAAGAACAACCACTGGTTAGCCTCTGGTAAACTAACATAGCGAACTGGAAAATCACCATGTTTAATGGGAAAATCAGGGAAAATCCATCATTTTTGATGTTTTTTTTGGGGAACATCCATGATTTTTGATAGGTAAATCAACTATACCCTCTGGTAAACATAGAAAAAACTATGGAAAATCACCATTTTTGATGGGTAAATCAACATAATCAACTATTTATATGGCTATTTTCAATAGCTATGCTAAAGTACCAGAGGGTATTGGTTGTATTGCTGTACTACTTGAGTTGTTTGGTAAACCACTAAACCATTGTAAACCATCAATCAAACCCTACTACAGTGTTATTTATCCAGGTTTACACATTCTTTTGCTTGTGTTTAGTTTGTTTTTCGTATCAGAAAGTTGGTGTTGAAAAACACAGGTGGTCAACGGCGTTTGACCCTGGCTGGCTCAGACATGTTATGTCAATTGTGGCGTCCCTGTTGGGAATGACTGTGCCGCAGATGGTTCTTTTTGTGTGTATTGTTGTCTGAAAAAGATGTAGGTATATGACAACCAATGGTAGAACACAATACCTCTATGTACCTACATAACCCGAACCGACCAGCTACCTACATACCATCATATACCAATAACCATTATTGTATATGTAGGTTATGGTTTGTATCTCACATGTCATATTTGCATTCTATGTAGCATCGTTCCTTTTTGCTAGGAATATTTGATTATGCCACGGTTCCTTCGACAATATTAGATCACAGTGGATCTTTGACAGTCTTTGGAAATGTTATCAAATTTTAACTAGATTATTTAGCACATGAATTTCTGAATGGATTGATGTTGTCCTCTTTGACTGTGTATATATATAGAACATATGTATTGATATATTATATACGTTATTCATGATACATTCAGATTCATTTCAAAGTTTCAGATATTCTCAGCATGGAGAATGTCTGACACTTTCCGTTGCAGTGCAGGCATCGGAACTGATCTCCCGTGGCAAACTGAAGGACCTCGGGGGGCGGAGCGGCCTCATGGCTGACCCCGGAAGTGATGGGTAGAAACGATGCTTTGAATCATCCTGGGTTTGTGGTCTGAAAAATCTGGATTAGTGATAGATTCTCCTACCCTCTGGTAATTTAGCAGTTTGCTATAGAAAATTGTCCATTTATAGTTGATTTACCTAATTAAACATGATTATTTTCCATAGCTATGTTAGTTTACCAGAGGGTAATTCATCCTAAAAGTCATTTGGGAGATGTTCTCTGTGGGTCGATTTGTTTTTTTTGTTCGAAACCACACGGAGTTGCGGGTCGGTGGCACCCAGGACTCCCAGGACAATGAAAAATCATGGCATCTCTGTTATGTTGAAAAATCACTTGTTGCAGGTGAGTTGCCCGTGCAAACCGCACACTCTCTCAAATAGCTTTGGCTCAAGTTACTTCCGCCGAAAAGTTTTGCAGATGAGTTCCACTTCAATAGAAAGGACAAGTCCTGGCAATGGGCCGCCACTTGATCCTTTGCGGAGCTTTATTCCTTGATTCGTTGCTTCATTTCCAAAAACGCCGCTCGTCTCCTGCCAAACTAGAAGGAGAGCAGAAACCATCGACATCAAAAAAAAACATCATAGAAATTATGGCACACACACATATGTCACATATATATATATATGATTATACATGATTAATTATGATTATATATGATTAAATGATTAATATTATTACATACAATAATTTATATCTATATGATACATATATATATAATATATGTATAATATATATATATATAATATATAACTTTACCAGTTTCACCAGCTTTTTCCAGTGCATTTCCCATGCTTCGCCATGGTCCGCTGGCGCGTGCTGAGCAGCAGCGGCCTCTTGGTCCGGCAGGGCGATAGCGTCTCTTCGGAGCAGCTGGGACGCCTCGAGTGCGGCACCACCGTGGAGGTGACGCCGGTGACGTCGGTGACGTCCCGGGGGGTGACGCTAAAGAAAGCCGGGTGACAACGGAGGTCAATATTCATAGCGGAAACTGGGGATTGTTTTAGTGGATATTTTTTTGGATATTAATGGATATTAATAGATATTAATGGATATGAATGGATAAATTCCATAAATCCCATTAATCACTGGATATTTAGTTGACTCATATCCACAAATGTAGGTAAAACAATGTCATTTTCACCACCCATGACTGGGAATGGTAAACATACAACCTATTGGAATGGTGATGACTGGGGGATGGTTTATGATTTTGTTTTACCCACATTAAATTAAATGGATAGCTAACCATAGTTACACAATGGATTATGAACTTTTTAGGCTAGGCTAGTAAATTGCGTATAGTACATTGGGTAAATTGGATAACTTACTAATTCCAAGTGGATAGTAGCCCTGGTTAGAAAATGGGAGAAGCCCGGGAATTCGGGACTTCTGAGGAGAAAAAATACAGGTTTATTCAGCACTGAAATTACGATTCGATGATCCTGGAAAGTGAGCACTGAAGATGAGGCTTTGGCTGTTTGGAGATGTTGGGGCCATCTCTACTGAGGTCATGTTTCTTGTTGCTATGGAAGAATGCGCACGCACCACGCCCTTTTGGTTTTCGACAAGGTGATTTTAGGTGTAAAAAATATGGTAAAAGGGAGTCATTTTCGTCCACAGCTTGAGTTTATTCATTGTTCAGGCTGGAAAACATACTGACACATTAAGAATTGATCTCAAGACCTCTGATTCAACAACATGCTTTTGTCATTTTCCCGTGGTGTGCACCAGGAAATCTTTCCAACTGACCATTGAAACCAATCTGCAGCATCAACTTCTGCAATCATGAGCATATATATATATAATTCATATCAAAGAACATGGTTCTCTCTCTCTCTCTATATATATGCATGTTCATATAATCTACATCAGTCATCTCATCTATGTCATCTATATCGTCCATCTCATCTATATCATATATATATATATCATACACATATATCATCCATATATATATACATCATATATATGTATATACCATCCACATCTGACTATTTATATATATATTATATCATCTATGTATCATCTCTATATCATCTAATTGTATATCATCCATTGCCATCTCACCGGTACCTTTTTTCATAGTACATAGTTACCATTAGATCAATCCCTTCTTTCTGAAAAAAAACGTGGCATCCGCGCAGGAGCTGCAGCTATGTGGTGAACGCCTGCGCTACCAACTGCTTTCGGGCCAGGGTCCTGCGACTGGCTGGGTCAGCCTGCGCTTGAAGGGGAAGGAGCTGAAACTTTCCTGGAGGAAATGAGGATATCATGAGAATATCATCCCCATTAATGTGGTTAAAACATGTTAAAACAATGTCCTAAAACATTCCCAAATTCACCATCAATGGGTGGTATAAACTATCAAACATGGGATGGTTTATTATTGTTTTGCCCACATTCATGGGAATATACTTGGGATATCATAGGGATATCATAGGGATATGATGGGAATATCATGGACATGTCTTGAGAGGGGGATATAATGTGAATAATGGGGGGATCATAGCGATGGAATTGGGATACAATGGTGATATTATGGAAACATCAATAGTAACATCATGGGGATAACCGGTAGTTACAGTGCTATTATGGGGATATGGATATATATATATATACATACATATATATGTAGGCGATACAACGGAATATGTTCTGTTCTCTTTCCATTCTGTTGGGCCCTGACACCAGGAGAAAGAAACAGCAGAGTCTTTTGCGAACGAAGTTGTAGTGTCAGGTAACGCAAAGCATCCCTGACCCATCAGAGCACACTGCAAAACTCGTGTTTCAAGTTGTGTTTCTACAGTGCATACCCTCTGGTAAACTAACATAACTATGGAAAATCACCATTTTCAAGGGGTAAATCCACTATAAATGGCCATTTTCAATAGCAAACTGTTAAGTTACCAGCGGGTACCATCCGGCACTCCATGGCTGGAAAATCCCCGAACTAAATGGATGTTTTTGGCTGAGAAAAGCGTCGAACTAACTAGTGGATTTTCAATTCGCCACGTTTGATGAAACCGGAGGGTAACATTCCATTACATATGATATTGTATCTCTATAAATCCTCATTGTTGATTAAATGTTCAGTTTCATATCATCCCCTCCATGTATTTGGGTTTTCCCATATTTCCCTTGATATTTCCTAGCAGTTTCCTAATAGTTCTAGGGGGAGTTGTCCATTAATATTTTCCCCACTGTTCACAGCTAATCAATTTGATGACCCCAAGCACTGTTGAGGATGTGGCTTCCGTAAACATATCGGAAAAAAAAAGGATATTCATACGAATCGAGGTGCAAGATGGTGCCCTGCTTCTTAACAGTTTAACTGAGATCACTAATATCTACCGAATCGAGGTGCAAGATGGTGCCCTGCTTCTTAACAGTTTAACTGAGATCACTAATATCTACCGTTAACATCCACATCATAAACCATACGAAAACAGGGATTTTTTGTATCCCTTATGCTCCATGGTGCTGGAATATTGACATACATTTACCCAAGACATGGCCCAGTTTTGTAGGTAAATATACTAGCACCATGGAGCATATGGGTAAAGGCATTACCCTCTGGTCAATAAACATAGACCCTGAAAATCACCAATTCTTAATGGAAACTAATCTTCCAACCCCTATCTGCCAGGGTCTATGTTAATTTACCAGAGGGTAATCTATACATTTTTTTGGGGGACATGATGGCTTGACACAAGATAGGGCATGTCAATAATCCAAATCCAGGATCTCTTGTGTCCTTTGGACGGCTGGCAGCTGGAGCCCGGACTGGCCATTGGACCATGGCTGGCGCATGAGGCGATGGCTGATGGCTTCCATCAACGGCCGGCTTTAACGGAATGAACCATGAAACATGGTGGATCATGGTGGATCATGGTGGACCAAGCGTTTAAAACATGCATTTTTATGGATTTAATGGATGTACAGTAATTGATGCATTTAATGGATTCAATGGATGTACAGTAATTAATGGATTTAATGGATTTAATGGGATTTAACGGATTTAATGGATTTAATGGGATTTAACGGGTTTAATGGGATTTAATGGGATTTAATGGATTGGTTTAAAGGGAAAATCTTAACCGGAAACCATGTTGTTCCTTTCCCATGACATATAGAATTGAAAGCATCCTATTGATTTCTATTGTCATGCTGTTTGAGGATGATTATTGTGCATTGTAATTTTCACCATTATATATGTTTATGGTCATTACTAAATAATATTTGAAAACCATTATCATGAACATTATTTGTCTCGAGCGCTGTTATTTCATGCTTATACTATGTTGCTTATTATCAATGCGGTATTCTTATTTTTATCATCGACGTCGTCGTCATCATCATCATCATCATCCTCATTGTCATGACAGTAATAATGACATTAATGATTACAATAACAACCATCACAGTCATAATGGAAAACTTTCATCATCATTTTCATTATTATGGTCTAATACAGGTACAGTGATAGAACCACCATGAAATAGCCATAAATGCTGGCAATGTCATTGCTGGCACCAACTACCCTGACTATCATAATTTATCAATCATCAATAGTCATTATTTACACATCTTACCATTATTAGGATTTCATTAGCCATTCTGTCATGACTATCTTTAGTAATTATTGCCCTTATGTACTAGCTATCATCATTAGAACTCTTTTATCCAACCATTAAAACCATTATTGATATTACTTTATTGTTCTTTTATTGTTACTACCGTCAAATATTGTTGTCACAATCAACCATTATTTTCTAGTAATCATCGTGGCACCCTACGGTTCATAGTATTTAACAATAGTAGCCATGATGATCACAATAATGATGATGTATAGTTCTACAAGAATCAGTATCATGGTGGTATTATCATTGGCCATGATTTATCTCTATAAACCCAATTGTTTAAGCCATGTTACTACTACTATTACCATTTTTACTATTAGAATCATGAACTAATAATAATGGGGGTTGAATAATGTGAGCCAATGATGATAGTTAATTGAGGATGATATATATATATATATAATATAATATAATGCAATGAACGTAGTAATAATGATTGGTAACCATTAATTGATGATAACCACCACGATAAATATAATGGTTCATGATGATAGCCGAAATAATAGTGATAGTACCATTATCTTAGAATCACGTTTTTTTTTCAAAAACCATTCTGTATGGTTTATCACCACTAATCATAAATCTCATCATTAACCATTATGTTACAGTAATACTAATACTGCCGGGTAGCCATTAGTTAATGTAATCACCATTAGTTCATGATGATAGATTAACTTTCATGATGACAGATATCATTGACTAAGGGTTGCCAGTCATCATTCATACCATTAGTTCATGATAATCATTGCTACAAACCATTCTTGGCACAACACACTAACCATTCTTGATTGATAGTCATACTAATAATCATGGGTAGTAATACTAATAATGATGATCACTATTCGTAATCATCATGATTACTAATTCATCACTAGGAAAACCAGATGCTAATCCAATGGTTTTTCATCAACCAGCTGCCAGGACAAAGTGACCAGCGTCCTGCTGGATTTCTTCCACCAGCGCCTTTGGACCTCCTGCTGGTCCCAGTCTTCCGCTCTTCGGCGCGAAGCCGATAGAAAGTTGACCCTGGAGAAATGATGAGAAACATGACAAAAATTGCGAAACAAAATCATTAACTATCATTAACCATCACTAACTAATAGAAATCTTCCCATTAGTTAACACCATCATGAAAAAATGATAGTTATTGTCCCATTAGTTAATAGTTAACACCATTTTAATAGTTAATCTGGTTGGTGGTTTCAAACATGGCTTTTATCTTATTGATGATTATTGGGAATAATCATCCCAACTGACTTTCATATATTTTTCAGAGGGGTTGAAACCGCCAACCAGTTAAAGAAATGATGGAAAAATAATGAATGTCCCGAGAAACACCTGGAATTTGGCTGACATATAGCAGTTTCACATCAGATATGATGATTGTATTTTGCTAATTAAGTCGTTTGGTATATTCCAGTTTCCAGGCGCAAGAAAACCAAAACAACCACTCATAAATCACATGCAGTAATGGCGAAACCCGGAACAACCATGCCTCATGTTGTTCCATGGAAAAAATCACGGAAAAGTTTTATATTTCATCGGAAAACCGGAAAACCTAAGGTTTCCTGTAGATTTTCCCTTAAGCCAATCCAGTGATCCATGAAATCCATTACAGTAAATCCACCATGTTTCATCGTTAATCCAGCATTTTTGGTCAAATCCATTGACCTTTTCTATTGTTTTCACATCTTTCAACCCATGATCAATGGTGAATCCCTCATTTCATCCCATCTCTACGTGTTATTTCATACCAGTTGTATCCCCCCAAAGCATCATGAAAGTTATTCTAATCATTATATAACTATCTTCATTAACTATTAAATTAACTATCGACTGCGATACCATTGGGATATCATTAACTATCATCAACTATCATCATGAAAGTTAGTCTGATCATTAACTATCATCATTAACTATTAACTATCGATTGGGATACCATCGGGATATCATTAACTATCATCAACTATCATCATGAAAGTTAGTCTAATCATTAACTATCATCATTAACTATTAACTATCGGTTGGGATACCATTGGGATATCCTTAACTATCATTTTAACAGTTAATTATTTGGATACCATTCCCAACTATCTTTAACTATCATCATTAACTATCATCACTAACTATCATCATTAACTTTCCCCATTAATTATTATCAACTATCATCAACCATTTTAATAGTTAATTACCTATCATCATTAACTATCATCAACTATCATCATGAATAGTTTTTCCCCATTACTTAATAGTTAGCACCATTTTAATAGTTAATTATTTGGATACCATAAATCATAACTTTCTATCATATACCTATTAACTTTCCCCATCTGGTTTGTTGATAGATATCTATTTTCTTTCATCTATATCTGAATTTCATTTGAAAGTTATTAACTATCATCAACTATCATCAACTATCATCATTCACTATCATCAACTATCATTAACCGTTATTAACTATCATTAACAACGGGGAAAAATCCCAATGATGATATCATCAATATCTATAGGGAAACATCATATAGGGGTATTAGATATATTAATATAGTAGTTAACTGGAATATCATCATTGGAATAATATAGTTAGTAAGTAGTTAATTACCAATGGTAATATCATCATAGTTACTATTAGTTAATTACCAATGGTATATAATGGTATATAATTACCAGTTTTAATTACCAGTTAATTAATTAATTACTATACTACTATACTACTATACTACTATACTACTATTGGATATTTAATATATAGTTAATGATGATCCCAATGATGATATTCCAGAAAAAAACGCTATATTAACTACTATATTATGGCAAATATAGGGATATTGGATATACTATTGATATTCCATTCCCAATGGGGAAACTCATTTTGGTATATCAATGGATATTTGGCTCAATAGTATATCCAATATATATTGATATATTGATATCCATGATATTGGTATACTATAGGATACTTAATAATTAACTATTAACTATTGGATATACTATTTAACTATTGCCATTCCCAATGGATATTGATATATTGCCATTAACTATTGGATATATTGATATATTCCCAATAGGGATATTGGATGATTATTCCCAATATGTGGATATTCCATTCCCAATGATGATATTCCAGTTAACTACTATAGTAATTAATTAACCAATGAGGGAAATCCTAATGGGGATATATTAGTTAACTACTAATTAATATCAATTAACCATTATATAATACTATACTACTGTACTACTATACTACTATTGGATATACTATTGATATTCCATTCCCAATGGGGGAAACTCCCAATGGTCTCCCAATCGACAGGTGAAGTCCTGGCACCTCTCCGCCCGCGGCGCCAATCGACTGGCGGAGCTCCAGAGCCACGGCCTGGTGGCGGACCTGGCGGTGACGCAGGCGGCCCGGGGAGACCGTGGTGGGACGTGGTGGGCACCGGGAAAAGCTGCGGAAAATGGGGGAAACTATGGGAAATTCATTGGAAAATATGGGAAAATGTAGGAAGATCTTTGGAAAAATCATAGGAAAATATGGCGCATATGGGAAAATGTCGGGCAAATCATGGGAAAATGATAGGAAAATATAAGAAGTTCGAAGGAAATCGATTGAAGAAATATGGGGGACACCTTGGGACAACATTTGGAAAGTATGGGAAACGATGGGAAACTCATGAGAAAATCCTGGTTTACTGGGATGACATTTGGGAACTTTTTGGGAACATCATTGCAAGAATGTGTTGCTGAGATCATTATTTGGATGATGAATGGGATGATGGAAATAACCTCATTCATCATCCCAATAATGATTTTGATTGGTTGGAAGGACACGACGCACGTTTTTGGTTTTCATTTTTCATTTGGGGGCCCAACAAGCTGGTGGTTATGGATTGTGTATTGGCATTGCGTTGGCCATTTTGAGGGAGATCTAGACTAACCAGGAAGGTATTGAAGGTTGGTCGCAAGAAATGGGCTTTGTGAGCTGCCGGCAAAGTGGCAGAGCCAATAAACTTCGAACGGACATTTATCTTGGATTTTGTGACATTTTTTTCAGTGCTACATCCATTGGATGCCTAAAAACTATTGGTTGGACTGGTTGGTGGTTTGGAACATTTTTTATTTTTCCATATATTGGGAATAGTAACCCATCATCATTAAGTATCATCAACTATCATCATTAACTATGTTTCCATATATTGGGAATAGTAACCCCTACTGACTAATATATTTTTTCAGAGGGGTTGAAACCACCAACCAGACTCTGTTTTTTGCCAATTTCATGATGGATCTCCAGCTGCCAATGGCTGCCGGCCTGAGGATTTTCTGGTGACCGCTATCTCAGCCAATCCCATGCCGGAGGGGAACGTGTGCCACCAGGCGAGGCATCTGAACCAATCAATGTTAAGTATCCCCCTAGGATCCTCAATGATGATATCAAGATATATCAAATATATTCAAATATATCCTAAATTGATGTATATGAGTAGCTATATATATCTATATAAAATACCAAAAATATCTTAAATCATGTTGATTGATTTACCCTAACATGACTTTGTGAAGTTTATCCCCAATTTTAGTTTTCCTGTTCCCCTACGATTTCGGACGATTTCAGGCAGACTTCAAACAGCGCATGGCAGAGCTGGACGATCAGCTGAAGGCCGGGCAGCAGTTGGTGCTGTGGCGCGTGGAGGATCAGCCCAGGCTGTGCCTGGGATAGCAAGCTCAACAAAATTGATGGGAGTTGGGTAAAATATATGGACAATTCATATTAAAATATATGTAAACTGAGGGGAGTTGGTAGGGGTTGGCAAAATATGGAACACTACATTCTTAATAGCTCAGTATATTGCTTCTTGATATCTTGTTTTGGAAGTGTTGTTGAAGTTACAATAAATTGTATGTATTGTATATTCTGAATAATTGTTGGGCTCGTGGTGCAAAGGTCTAGCCTCTCCAGAACAATAGGATTTAACTTTCCAATTTCATTTTACCTATTTTTTTTGGAAATGAACATTCACCTTATTTTTTGTGGGGAAGCTAACCACAAAGAAAACAACAAATACCATGTAATCTTCCAATTGGAGGTGACTTTATCCAATGAGTTGACGTAGCCTTGTGGAAGGTCACCCTTGCCCCAAGCGGCGCGCAACTTTCCTATTGTAATTGGCAGGAAACCCCCAAAAATTGGCAGAAACACCAGGGGGTTCTCTAGATTTTCCCATGATTTTCCCATATTTTCCTATGTGTTCCCATATTTCTTCATGATTTCTCCATGATTTCTCATAAATTTCCCATGTTTTCCTATATGAATTATGGTCAAATTGGTTGAAGACCATTGTAGTTTTGCAGAAACATGTTTGTCAGAGATGTGCACGAAACACTGTAAAGTGATAGGGCACTCCCCCCAAAAAGCGATCACCGATCATAGTAACGATACAGAGATGCAAAGAGGGTTTTGACGGGAGCTCATATGTTCCCACATTTTTACCATGATTTTCCCATGATTTTCCCATGGTTTTTCTATGATTTTCCCACGTTTTTCCCGTATTTTTAAGCCAAATCCATCGATTCACGGCTCCAAGGCACCGGGAACTGCCACGGCACCAGCGCGGCTGCAATCTGCTGTCACTGTGCCCCGCAGGGCCCGCAGGGCTGCTGGCATCGGCGTCCAAAGATGCGCTGGTGGTGTCCCTTGCGGAAATGCTGGGGGTTTTGCCAAGAATCCTTAAGATTTATCATCATGATCATCATCATGATCATCATCATCATCATCATCATGATCATCATCATCATGATCATCATCATCATCATCATGATCATGATCATCATCATCATCATCATCATCATCATCATGATCATCATGATCATCATCATCATCATGATCATGATCATCATCATCATCATCATCATCATCATCATCATCATGATCATGATCATGATCATGATCATCATCATCATGATCATGATCATGATCATGATCATCATCATCATGATCATGATCATGATCATGATCATCATCATCATCATCATGATCATCATCATCATCATGATCATGATCATCATCATCATCATCATCATCATCATGATCATGATCATCATCATCATCATCATCATGATGATCATGATCATCATCATCATCATCATCATGATCATGATCATCATCATCATCATCATCATCATCATGATAATCATCATCATCATAACCATCATGATCATGATCATCATCATCATGATCATCATCATCATCATCATGATCATCATCATCATCATCATGATCATGATCATGATCATCATCATCATCATCATCATGATCATGATCATCATCATCATCATCATGATCATCATCATCATCATCATCATGATGATCATCATCATCATCATCATCATGATCATGATCATCATCATCATGATCATGATCATCATCATCATGATCATGATCATCATCATCATCATCATGATCATCATCATCATCATCATAATCATGATCATGATCATCATCATCATCATCATCAACTATTGGTAATAATGATTACTGATAGCTAATGATGCAGTGATTTTGTGATTAGTATATATCATGAATTAATGGCTGCCAATCATTATTACTGTAACACAATGGTTAATGATGAGATGTATGATGGTTGATGATGATACCATCGTATTAGCATGTGGGTAAAACAATGTCATTTTTACCAGCCATATTAAATGGAATGGTTTATTTATACCAGCTATTTACATTGTGAAATTTGGGGTGCTTTATGGCATTGGTTGCAATACCCACCTTGCTTGGGATTCAGAATCCCTACATCAAATTCATTGACATTTTCCAGTCACATGCTGGAAACCGCTCCGGTCAGTGGTTTTCCCAACAATCCTTGGAGGTTTCCAGTAATGAGGTACCCGGCCTGGTAAACGTTAACAAAAAACTATGGAAATTTTTTATTGGGAAAACTCACTATAAATGGCCATTTTCAATAGCTATGTTAAATTACCAGAGGGTAAATCCAATGAAACAAAGCATCCCCAAGTTTGAGGTTTATGGCATTGGATGATTAGCCCCTACGACTGGGATGATTGAAAAGGATTCCCTAAAGGATTGTTTTTCTGGGCTGGTTTAATGGGATGGGTTTACCACATTTGTTGGGAATCCCTGCATCAAAATCATTGAATATGTTATGTAACATCTTGGTCTTATGTTATGTAACAATGTACCTATATTTGACATGTTTTTGTTTTTTGGTGGGGTCATTATAGTAGCAACCCCCAAAAAAGATGCGAACATTGTATAAAATTGCGGGAAATATGATGAACTATGAAGTACATATCATCAAACTAAAATCCTAGAAACACTGTTCGGAATCCTTTTAGATTTTTTGGGGGGTTGCTATGCACAGTTCAAAAGACCATAGTTGGTTGATGATTATTGGGGATACGACTGCTCAAGATATTGGGGGAATTACTTGGTTGCTACAGCGGTATGGGTCAAAACCTTTTTTTGTCCCCTGAAACTGGACGGTGAAAACTAAACAAGACTCGAATCTATGCTGTTTGGTAGCCTTAAGACCTAGCCACTTGAAGCATGCCCCCCATAGAGGCCAAGGCCCAAGCAACGAGGCTGTGATGATGGTTTTTCAGGTTTTCCAATGGTTTTTGCTGGGTTTGGCTCCATGGTGTTCCATAAATTTCCATATCACTAATTTTTTGTGTGCTAGTGATGTGACATATTTTAAGAAGTGGCAAGTTGCCTTTTTTTGGGGGGGACAGTTCAGATCAGTTCAGTTTCAAAACAATTGGGCATTCTCTCAAGTTCCAAAGACCCATAGGATCCATGGTGCTGCTATATATGGTGTGCCATGGATACCATCAACAAAAACCCCAGTCATGTTAGCATTTTTCTACCAGCACCTCGTGCAGCAACATATCTAGGTCTCGTGTGGATGATTTCGAGGCGCAAGCGCCGCGCGCTTGCCTCGGGTTCGATGGATATTCTATGTATTGGATCTGTCTATATAAGTTGGCCGTATGGTATGAATAAGATTAGGGGAATGGGATCATTTTTTCGTTAAACCACGGAAACCAAATAATTAACACAGTACAACAATGACTTATTGTTTTGCCTTTTGAGCTGTTTCTGGAGAAAAAACGTTCATCGAAATGTTTGCCAGTCCCAAGCTCCATCGACCTCCCAGGTGCTTTGGACCGTGGCATTGGACTCCAAACTGCAAGGGCTGTGTTGGGCGCCGTGCGCAGAGCCGCGCTTGTGGAGTTTCGATGGACGACATGCGAAGTTGTGGGAGGCCAGGTGAGGGTGATGGATTGGACGCTGGGATGCCTTGAACTGCGAAAGAAAGGATGGAAACGTGATTTTTCCCATTGACATAGTGATAAATGATGATCAATTGGCTAATTTTGTTCTGGGGGAAGATCATTTCAAATATCTTTCAAATTGCAATGGCATGCTGAGATTCCTGTCGATCCCATATGTCCGCGAAATCGCTACCAGGATGGAAGGGAAAAAACATCGGTGAGACTCGAGGCGCAGAAACCATCCAGCAGTCAGACCTGACGTCAGATGTGAAGCGGTTTGCAGTGGTACTAATGCCATAAACATATACCATAAACTGTCCATAAACCATCCAAAAAATGACCATTTGCGCCATTTTTTGGAATTCAAACATATCGTCTCGAGGAGCAGTATACCAGTATACCCATGAAACCTCAAACTTGTGAATGATTGGAATGGGCTTTACCGGTTTACCACACATCATGTTGATTTGCATGGCGGATATCTTCTGGTGAGGTGATATGGTACCAGACATCGGCTGGCGGAATTCATTTGGCCCGAAGGCGAACAAATAAATCTGGCATGACGACTTGAGACATCTCGAGACCTTTTTATCTACGGCAAACGTTATATAATGCACCATGTGAGGGCCCGGATGATGGAATCTTCCACCTCAGGTTGAGAATGTTTCAGCCCTGACGCCTTTGAAGGACTTGCCACTTGCATCAAGAGAACTTGCCCTCGCTTTAGTCGATGAAGCCAGATGTGAAGCGTTGCACCCCGCAAAGTTTCTGTAGTATTACCCTCTGGTAATGACTAACAGTTTGCTATTGAAAATATTGAAAATGGCCATAGAAATAGTTGATTTGCCCATAAAAAATGGTGATTTTCCATAGTTATGTTAGTCTACCCGAGGGTATTTATTTTCCATGGGCTGTTTTTATTCAATCAAATATCAGGAAGGGTTACTTAGTTTACTTTGCCTCTCAGTCATGAAATTCATGGAGCCTTTTGACAAAGTCATGAGGGGGAAAGCTGCCCATATGTCGAAATTTTGTATCAGCTTATGGGGAACTATATCTTACACCCGAAACCGCCGAAAGTATACCTTTATCCTCACAATATCACACTCCAAGCCAACTTTCTCAAACTTCACCATTTTCATGTGATTTCTGAGGTCCCAGTTTTCCACTGTTCCCATGCCAAAAAAGGCTATTGGTGGCCCATGAGACCGGCTTCATGTTCCTCAACAGCGACGATGGCCAGATGCTGTGGCAGCAGTATCTCGGTATGGTTTTTTGGTTGGCCAACATGGGATACCTGTAGTCTGCAACATACGCGTAAGGGAACATCCATGGAAAACATTGGACAACTATGGTAACTATGGCTGAAATTTTTGAGACTTGAAAACTATGGTAAGTTTTAGCCACTTTCAAGAACAAATGCCAATGCCATGTTTTCCACTTGGGCCATGGCCATTTTTGGCCCGTTTGGAGGTACACCAAAGACGTGGTCTGCGCCGCGAAGGCCCTGGGTGAAAGTTGCTTCGTGGCCGCCGTGGGGTGCAACGTGGTGAAGTACCAGCTGGCTGAAGGCGCGAAGGCCTCTAAGGCCTCGAAGGCCTCCGCGGCTGGGAGCCTTGGAAGCCTTGGACTGGAAGCCTTGGTCCGGGGGGTTTTGGTGTGTGTTTAAATAAATAAATAAATATATATATATATATATCAATATATATATAAATATATGTGTTTATATATATATATATATAAATATATATATATATGTGTGTTTATATATATATGTGTGTTTATATATATATATATATATGTGTGTGTGTTTATATATATATATATATGTGTGTGTGTATGTATATATATATATATATGTGAGATGGCTATAATCCGTAAAAAAAAATATGGAACAGTTAAGATCCAATGGAGAAACTATGGCATAGTTAGGACAGTTTCAACCAATCTTAAACAAATTATAAAAACAAAATCTGGGATAGTAATAATCCAATGGTTATCCTAATTTTGGGACCGGGATAGTTATAAGTTACAAGCAATGGTGGTGACTATGATATTAAGCCATTATGGACGTATATGGATTCCAGTTATTCATGCAACAATCATTGTAAGAACCCAGTTGTTCTTGTGTCCCAAACATTAGTCAAAAATGCTTATGTTATAACAATGGCTGAACATATGTTATAACATTACAACCTTGAGGATCCGATGGTATAACCATCAGATAGTTATAAACTATGGTTTTGGTTTAGCCCATGATGGATTTACAATGCATAATTATATATAATGATATATCGGATTTGGAGGATGGGCCCCCCAAGATAGCTAAGTTGAGATATAAGTGGCTTAACTGTGGTTTATGGTAGATATAACTATAGTTTTCATGGGGTTTATAAGCTTTTTATAAACCAACAAACATAACTGGGGGGCACCATCCTGTGGTTTATAACTCATCAAAAAATTACTTTACTTCGTGTGATCCCCACCATGACATTTATACATTTTCTTACTGGCAAATCTTCTGGCATTCTATCTGACATATCTTCTGACATTCTATTTGGCATTCTATCTGGCATATCTTCTGGCATATGATCTGGCATTATCTGCTTCTAGGTGGTGGTAGGGATCTCTGGCCTATCTTCTGGGCATTCTATCTGGCAAATCTTCTCTCTTCTGGCAATTCGAGCTTGGCATACATCTTCTGGCACTCTAGCTGACATAATCTTCTGGCATATCTTCTGCATTCTATCTGGCATATCTTCTGGCATATATTCTGACATATCTTCTGGCATTCTATCTGACATATCTTCTGGCATATATTCTGACATATCTTCTGGCATATCTTCTGGCATTCTATCTGGCATATCTTTTCCTGCAATATATGTTAGTCTGGCATATCTTCTGGCATATATTCTGACATATCTTCTGCATTCTATCTGGCATTCTATTTGGCATATCTTCTGGCATATATTCTGACATATCTTCTGGCATTCTATCTGGCATTCTATCTGGCATTCTATCTGGCATTCTATTTGGCATTCTATCTGGCATATCTTCTGGCATATCTTCTGACATTCTTTCTGACATTCTTTCTATCTTTCTTCTGCACATTCTTTGTCCCATATCTTCCCACATGAGGTCCGGCAGGGAACACTGGGCGTGGATGGTCGTGGTTGAGGTCCGGCAGGGAACACTGGGCGTGGATGGTTGTGGTTGAGGTCCGGCAGGGCACACTGACATGGATCGCAGTGGAGCAGGAGGAGGACGAGGAGGACGAGGAGGACGAGGAGGACGACGAGGAGGAGGAGGAGAGGAGGAGGAGAGGAGGAGAGGAGGAGAGGAGGAGGAGGAGGAGGACGAGGCAGGAGGAGGCAACTGACATAAAATCTAACAACCCTCACCTGGCAGGTGGGGAAAAACGTTGTTTTCTAACTCTCACCCAGTTATCCACACAATGATGCCTCGAAGATTTCCGCAGAGTTTTCTCGCATGATGATGAATATTCCGAATATTCCTATCTAACATCCGAGAACCATAGAACTAAACATTAGTTATTGTTTTTAGTTACCATAGTTATCAAGTGTAGCCAATGGTAACAATATTTCGTTACAAGGAGTCTTTCAGCAACTTGCCTTCGACATGAGTTTGGGGATGGTGTGAACCTGTCCTGTGGATGCATGCCTCCATTCTAACATCAACGTCAACCATCAACGGCAACCACCAACATCAACCATCAACATCAACCATCAGCCTGAACATCAATATCAACATCAACCCGCATCCATCAACTCCAAATATCAAAATCAACCCCAGCCCCAACATTAACTACTATCTGAAATATCAGTTTGTTCCTTGCTTATTGCAGCCCTTTGTCTACAAGATGCTACCGATGTGAAGAGCGAAGAGCCCGTTTTTTTTTAATGAAAAAGTGGCACCCAACTATCAACATTCACCAACATTAACACCAACACTAACACCAACATCAACCAACATCAACCCACATCAACCAACATCAACCAACACTAACACCAACATCAACCCACATCAAAAAAAAATCTCAGGATGTGGACTTTTCCCAGCAAAGTTATCTCCCTGGACTGCCACAGCGGGCCCGACATCTCTTTGGTGGCGGCGGGCTGTGCGGATGGCCGCGCCGCCGTTTTTGATGCCACCTGAGAGATGCGAAAAAAACAACACGGCGTAGCTGGGGAGATTCACCTTAAAAAAAACAACTGGGAATATTTCTTGCAAACCCAGTTTTTCAAGATTAAAAAAAATGATGAAACATGTGAATGTTTACATCTTCCCTAAATTTTAATTCGGAATCTATTATTCTATATTTTTTTTGGGGAGGATGAGGATGAGTATGTGTATTTTAGATTCTCCAATCCAATCTGGAGATCTATATGCACTTGTCCTTGAAGCAAAATCATCAGACAATATTGTTTACTCAAAGATTGGAGATATGAATTGGGAATAAAGATAATTATGCAGGAACATTTGGAAGGGGTACCGCGTATAGTTATTTAATCTTATTTGTACAGACCTCTGACTCACTCTTGAAGGTATAGACTCCCGACTCCCTCTGATATATGAACAATTTTCTTGAACTTGGAGACGTGAATCATGCATTGAGGATCGTTGGGAAAAAATATGAACCATATTATTTTTTAAAAAACACATTTTCATACTATACTATCAAGCCATGACATTTGACCAATTCGTTGACTGGTACAGTGTGGCATCAGGTTCTCCATCATGAAAACACCATGAATTGTTCTTCACCCCCCTATAAATTCCCAGAAATTCATAAATTCCAACCTCCGAAAATCTCTTGTTTTTGCTGCAGGAGGACCAATTGGGCGCCCGTTATGCCCAAGGGATCCAAGTGCGCCAGGAGATTCCCTCAGGAGTGTAACTTGCCGCATCCAGAAGGTGCTGCCCCAGGTCGTTTACAAACCTAATTATAGGCTTTATGGGGATTATATTTAGAATCTAGGCTTCGATGGCTTTATGCAGCAATTTTTAAATGATGGGGCAGCACTCTGTCTTTGTTTATTGTCTATTGTCTGTGTCCTTCGTGTTTTTGTTGTTGTTTTTTTCTTGTTGTTGTTGTTGTTGTTCTTGTTGTTGTTGTTGTTCTTGTTGTTGTTGTTGTTGTTGGCATCCCAGCATCAGTTGGGGTTGAACCAATCAGTTGACCACTTTTATTTAAAAGACATCATTGGTATGTTGAGGTGGCAGCATCCTTGGTTCTGGTAGGCGAAGGTTACTTCATTCCAAGGCCCCATTTGGCCCTATAGTATTTTGACATATTTTGACCCTCTGGTAATTTAACAGGAGTACCTCATCTAACAACGTGCCATGTTCCATAACCAACTCTTGAAATGCTAGAGGAGATGGATTTCTTGGAGGATTGTTTGGTGTGTCCACCCAAGACTTCCGATGATGGTCAGTGCATGATAGGTTTGTAAGGTTCCATCATGGAGATTTCTGTGGTTTTACCAGCAAACTACAGCAATAGTGAATCAGAGATTCACACACACACACACGCACACACACACACGCACTATATATATATACATTGACATACGTATATACATACACACATATATATACATATATATCATGTGTGTGTGTTATTTTACATTGGGGCATATCAGATTCGATTAGATTGTACCATGATAAACCCCAACCCTAAATTTCAGCTACTTCCAGGCAAAGCTTGAGGCTGGAAGGGCTCTTGCACTTAACTGCCAGCGACCTCAGGATGGGAACCATGGTGAGCTGAACCCTCGAAGCCTCGTTGGGATTTTATGTTGGGATATGACTTGATATACCCGGCCTGGTAAACTAACATAGCTACTGGAAATTGCCATTTATAGTGGATTTACCTATTAAAAATGGTGATTTTGCATAGCTATGTTAAATTACCAGAGGGTAACCCCCTGGTTGCTGGTTTCAAACATTTTTATCTTCCATAATATATGGGATGTCATCCTTCCCATTGACGAACTCATATTTTTCAAGATGGTTATTGCACCACCAACCAGCACCTATAACTACACTGAAATCGATTCACTTTTTGTATCACTAACACTGCACTTCAGGTTGGCACATTGGAATCGACGGCATTAGTCGAGGTGCTTCTGTCTGGGTTTGGCAATGAATCTCTGTTCATTTTGGCAGCCAGTTTGGGGTATTTAATACTGTTTGGGGGATGAGATTTGTATCCATTCACACAACATTTATACGCTATAAAGCCGGAACATGTGTATATATATATATATATGTATATGTGTATATGTATGTGTGTATGCGCCATTACATGTTGGATTATGTTACAACTTGATTCAGTATCATATGAGACATTTACATACATAGTCACAATCATATATAATCATGTATAATCAAATATAATCATATAGACTCATAGGTAAACATATAGAATATAGAATCATTCATGATATCATTTAATCACATATAATATAATCACACACATATATATATGTATTATAAATATCATGCCATCCTATTCTATACGTTCCATACGTTTCCATCATAGGCCGACTTGAGGCACCCGTGACAGCTCCCGTTCGACCGAGCTCGAGCAACACGCAGAACCGAGATCGAGTGGTGCGGGGCCCTGGGATGGTGAAGCTGGAGATTTTCCAATGGATTTTCCGAGAAAAACCAGGTGAGGTCAGTGAGAAAAACCTAGAAAAAGCCATGGAAAACCATTGCTGGTTGGTGGTTTGGAACATGGCTTTTATTTTTCCATATATTGGGAAGAATCATCCCAATTGACTTTCATATTTTTCAGAGGGGTTGAAACCAGGTTGCTTGGGAGTTTGGTTGCTGATTTAGACACATAGTTGACACATAATTCACATAAGAAAAAGGGTTTACGGGGGAATATTAAACTATATTGGCACATGGTTTGTTGAAACCAACTTCAAATTGGGGCCTCACCATGTCATTGACAGGAAACTCGCAACTTGATGGACGAAACATGATCGATGGGGACTCGCAACTGTGTGATCATCTGTTTTTTTATCCGTTGGTGATGAATACCCGGCCTGGTAAACAAACAGTTTGCTATTGAAAATGGCCATAGAAATAGCTGATGTACCTATTAATAGAATGGTGATTTTCAATAGCTATGTTAAATTACCAGAGGGTATCCGTTGGTTTTGACGTATCCGGTGATACGTCACTGTTTGTTCCATGTTGTTTCGCTCCATCTATTGGATATTCCCTGCAACCCGAGTGGGAGGTGCAGGGTATACTCGTAGCTATCGTTTGGAATGCCATGGTGAGTTACTTCACTCAACGCTTACAACGGGGGGATATGGAGGGATCTTGCGAACAATGCTGGATCCATCTGGATCCCAACAATGACCATATTACATCAAATTACATGCAGTACCCTCTGGTTATGTCAAAATAGCTATTGAAAATGGCCATTTATAGTGGATTTACCCATTAAAAATAGTGATTTTCCATAGTTACGTTAGTTTACCAGAGGGTAATTGTAATATGATGCAGTAATTGTCCATAATACATCATAATACAATAACAATGATCATCTGGTGTCCCAACAATGATCAGATTTGGACCGTACCAGTTTTAGGACACCAGGTTAAACCTGGTTGTTTATCCATGTGACTTTCGTATGTCAGGGTGATATGGGTTGCCAGAGAGGATCATCCCACGGATTTCCACGGATTTCGCCCAGATGCCAGCGGTTGAGATGAAGCATCTTGGCTGCGATGAAGGGAGGCTCAGACAATGGCTTGATGCCTTAAAGGCACAGAAGATTCAAAGACTTTTTATGCATGGAAAATGAATGAACATGACATAAATAACCCGCCGGGTCGGAAATGGAACGTGGCGGTGAGTGGATTTTGCACTTTCATTCTTTGTGTGGCATAAATATTAAATAACTAGCCATTTTTCAATATGACAGTCATTTTCTGGTTGGTGGTTTGGAACATTTTTTATTTTTCCATATATTGGGAAGAATAATCCCAACTGACTAATATTTTTCAGAGGGGTTGACACCACCAACCAGTCAATATGACAATCATTTTCATAGACCGGATGTCCTTGGGGAATGTTCCATTGTCAGCGTAGGTTGCCAGAGGGTATCCCGTCTTGTCATTGGTTGCTCCACCCAGAGGTCATATGAAGAATCAACGGTGCTGACCGGTGGAAACACAACATGTTTCAGCAACGTTCTGCAACCCCCAAAATGGATATAGAACAGTGAATTTAGTTTAGATTTATATATATATATGTGTTTTTTTTAATTGGTCAAAGGGAAAATCTACAGGAAACCATGGCTTTTACCATTAAATATGGTGGTTTCCGGTTAAAATGTTCCCTTAAACCAAACCAATGAATATTACTTTGCTATCTTTTTGGAGGTTGCTGCAATGTCGTCCATCCGAATTGGAATAGCCCAATTGATTCATCCCGGGGATCGGGCTTGGTCTCCGAAATTGAGCACATCTACCTTTGGGGTTGGCTTGAACATTGAAGATGAAACCGCGTACACTATATATATATATATGTACGTAAAATATATACATATATACACTATATATATAATGATTATATATATACATATCATATATATATGCGTATGTGTTGACATTCAGCTATCCTGTCTTCTCTCTGTGAAGCATCGCATCTTTTATCACCAGGACTCTGGTCAGCTGCCATGGAACTAAGGCCGAGGCCACCGAACATCGTCTTAGAACAGCTTGTGCCCAGCGCGGTGGAGCAGCCCAACGTTCCCGGAACTGTGTCCTGGCGACAGAGAAAAACATGAGTGAGACATATTGCTTGAAACAGAAGAGTCCCTTGGAAATCCCGCGCCTTGGGGCCCTTGCCCTAGCACTTGCCCAGGCTCCGGCTCCTCCGCCAGCCAAGCAGAATCGTATGGTGCGGAGGGAGGGAATGTCAAGGCTGAAACCCAAGAAACATGGTGATTCAAAATGGGATTTAATAGGAGATCATAGGAGTTTAATAGGATATACTTATCTAGTCTTATCTATATATGCACCATATATATATATACTTATCTATAAATATATATATATAACCGTCTTAGGAACCCCTACATGGTGCAGTGTTCAAAACCGCCGTTGGTTGATGATCAGGGGAGGGGATTTTCACAATTC